AATGGAAGCCTTCCCCTCATGACTGAGAATGCCCTGTGGATGTCCTTTCTGCCCATTTCTATTTGATTGCTCTGGAGGTCTTGGCTCTTTTTTTTTTTTTGTAATGAGTTAAGTAAAAGAATTAAAAGACATACAACTTGGAAAGGGAGAACCAAAATCTTTATTTTCAAATAGAAACAAGTTTTTACACAGAAACTCTTACAAAACAATTAGAATTAATAAGTGAATTTTAAAATAGCACACAATACAAGGTTAATATGTAAAAATAGATTGTGGGCCTGGAGAGGTGGCTCAGTGGTTTAGAACACTTGTTGCTTTTGTTCAGTACCCAGGATCCACATGTTGGCTCACCATCATCTACAACTCCTCAAGGAGATCCAGAGCCTCTTCTACTCTCTACAGGCACCAGGCACGAACATGGTACACTCACACACATGCAGACCAAACAGTCATGCACATAATATTAAATAAACACATCCAAAATTAATTTTATGTTTATAGATCATTGGTGAATAACTGGAAAAAGACAATAATGCAATTTTTCATAAGATAACATCTTGAAATATTTAGAGATGCATCATTCACCCAGACATGAAATTTAAACTATAAAGCTTCTAGAGGAAAATTCAGGAGAATATCTTCACAAATTTGGATCAGGTGAAGATTTTTTTAAATATAGAGCAGCACCAAATAGAAAGAAAAAGATGGATGAGTTGAAATTTAAAACTTTTGTTTATCAACGCTACTAAATAAAAATGAAAAAGTATGGGTGGAAATATTTGCAGTGCAAATATCTGATGAAGGACTTAAGTCTATAATGAAAAACACTTCTACATATCATCAATAAACAGGAAAGCTATTAAAAATGGGCAAAAAGTTTGAACAGATTGGTCAGGAAGGAAGGTGGACAAATAGCCAGTAAGCACATAAAATTGCTCAATACTGTTGTTCTTTGGAAAAAAAATTACAGTGAGACAAAGAGACTCCATTTCATTAAAATAAAATGCTAAAATTAAAAAGATGGATTATAACAAATGGTGTGGCTGTGGAGAAACTATTGGTGGAATATGAAATTGCAAATCACTTTGGAGCCCATGGGAGGTGTTGGAGGGCTGGAGAGGGAGGTGGGAAATGATATAAATATAATGCTCATATATGAGATTCTCAGAAAAAGTTATATATAAGACTTTAGGTCGAAGAAAAGGCAATATATGCTCTTTCCTAATGTCTACATTAAACTTTTACAAAATATATACAGTGAGCCAAACAGAAAATGTCTCAAAGTCATAAATATATAGGCCAGAGTCTATGACCACAGTGTTAGGGCAATGTGAAACTGACGATTAAAGACTTACAAACAAAAAGAAAAAGGCCTAAATTCTAGGATACTTTAAAAGACAGTCTCCTAAAACACTTCAGGACTGCACGTGGTAGTGCATGCTTTTAATCCCAGCACTTGGGAGGCAGAGCCAGATGTCTCTCTGTGAGTTCAAGGCCAGCCTGGATTACATAGTGAGACAGTTTCTCAAACAAAACGACAAAAAAGAAGCTTGGAGCAAAGAGAAAAATGTACATACCAATGAAGCTTACCCTAAAAACTTACAAGTATACATATATTGAAACCGAAAAACAGAAAAGGTGACCTGAAATTATGAAAGAAGAACTTCTATAGAGAATGGAAGTGGCGGGGGGCAGAGGAAAGGGTAGAGAAGTTAGAACGGAGGATGAGGATGCATGAGCCATGTGTTGGACATGGATATAGGACAGTGAAACTCATATATCATACAAAGAACATGTGCGAATAGAAAAAAAAAACCTTACAGTGTGTCATAAGTAGAACTCAGAGCAGATGTCTTACTATTACATAAAAAATGAGAAGAATGGATGAAGAAATTGGAAACATAACTGTGAATACCACTGAGGATTAGGAAATGGGAACTGACATAATTAAATGTAAAAATTACTGAGTTGGCAAATCTACAAAGAATGGATAATAAATCCATTTGTTATACTAAAAAGAAACATGCGGGCTTTCCCCCAGGAAAATCAAAAGGAAAGTGGACACAACAATGAACTGGCGAGGGTCATGACACCACAGACATGAGTGAGAAGATATGACACATCTGTAACTAACGGTGGGAAAATCATTTTCCACAAATAATTAAAGAAAACACATCAAGAGCCATACAAGAAAACAACACAGTCAATTATTTTTCAACAGTCTGTTCCACTCAGAAAGCATAAGACGAGTGAGCTATGTAGAGTACCTGGAGATGTTCAAGGACTAAGTGTCTCTTTTAAAGGAAATGGTTTTGATATTAGAAATATGTAGGGTTCCTCTCAATTCACTTTTATTTTTCTTCTCTAAGACAGGGTTTCTCTGTGTAGCTCTGGCTATCCTGGAGCTCGCTCTGTAGACCAGTGGCCTCGAACTCACAGAGATCCGCCTGCCTCTTCTTTGAGTGCTGGGATTAAAGGCATGCGCTACCATGTCTGGCTCAATTCACTTTTTGAAGTATATATAGGTTGGGTTCTAAATATCACTAAACAAGTATGCTATCATACACAAATGCATGAAGCTCTCCTATGCCTATGAAAATAGTGCAAATATTCCATGAGAATATTAGAAAACTGATTCATACTCTAGAGTCTAGACTAAAATAATTGGACCACCATCCTAGGCTTATTTCAGGAATTTTTGATGGTTTAACATGAAATGTATTAGTGCAAGTCATTACTACTAAAAGAGGTGCAAAAAAGGCACTTGGTGAAATGTGCTACCCATTGTTGCATAAGCTGCAGGAAGGAGGGGCTGGAAGCAGATTTTGTTGACCTATTAAAGCCTATTCATGAGAAACTAAGAATAAAGATTTTATTTAATGATGAAGTTTTAGGTGTATTCCATTAAAAGTGCCAAATGTTACTGAAATATTTAAATTATCAGGTGGGTTCCTGGCTATTGTTTTGAACTAAGAATAAGTATTGGAAAGGAAGAGACAAAAAAAGAATCATCACCTGGAAAATACTAAGAAGATATGAAGGAACTAAATGAAAAGCTGTTAGGGCCAATACAAGTGCTTAATAGTGTGTGTGTGTGTGTGTGTGTGTGTGTGTGTGTGTGTGTGTGTGTGTACAGCTGTGTTTACATAGTTACATATACATGCATGTATGTGTACAAGTGTGTTTGTAATAACATTCTTAGAAACTATCACAGCTCAACCAGAAAATATAATAGAAAATATCCCTTTCACAAACACAATTAAAAATGCAAAATCCCAAGAATTAACAAGAAATGTACTGAAGTATATGAAAAAAATAAACAAAGCACAAAATTGCTGAAATATAACTCTCTTCCAAAACATTCAATACATTCTAACTCGTCTCAAGGTAGGTCTTAGGAATTTGACAATGTGATTCTAAAGTTTAGATGGAACTACAAACATTCATATATGCCTAAGAAAAAGAATTTTAAAAAGCAGTCAAAGGAGGCCTGTACTGTGGGTTCTAAAGACATGTAATGACGTAAGGAAACTTGTTCCCTGAGCCACAGGAATAGACCCAGACACATAGAAACAGTCATAAGTGTGGATGGCATATTAGCAAAAACTGAAGTTATAAATTTTAAATTGGGGAAGTACAAAATTATAAAAACTGCATTGGGCTATTAGTTGATTATCTTTTTTAAAGTATTTCTTGGCCAGCAGGTTTTGTTTTGTTTTAATCTCATCACTATGAATCAAAGCACTGAAAACAGAGTTGTCATGGATCTGGTCATCCAGTTAGTACACAGTAACTCTGAAGAGTTATCTGCACCTCCATGTTCATTGCAGAATTATTCACAACAGCCAAGACACAGAAGCAACCTGGCTGTCCATTGTAACATGAATGGATAAGGCTGGAGAGATGATCCAGCGGTCAAGAGTGATTGCTATTCATCCAGATGGCTGGAGTTCAGTTCCCAGCACCCACATTTGGTGTGTCACAACCACCAGGGGATCTGATACCCCTTTCTGGCCTCTACTGGCAGCAGCCATACACTTGTGTGAATACGTATGCATACACATACACTTAAAATAAATCCAACTAGAGTACTATTCATCATAAAAGCCTGTCATTTACAGCATGAATGAGCCTGGAGAACATGATGTTAAGTGAAACAGGCCAGCCATTGAAAGGCAATACCACATTTGTATGTATAATCTGAAGAAGTTGAAATCATAGAAATAAGGGGTTTGGTGGTGCTTATCAGGACGGGCGGCGGGGGGGGGGGGTGTATGGAGAATGAGCTGTGTTGATCAAAGGGTACAAAGTTTCAGTAGACAGGAGGAATGCACTTCAGTGATCTCTTGCACACAACAGTGACAATGGTGATAATGCTTTCTGTATTTCAAAATGACAAAAATGGCAAATTTTAAATGTTTTCACAAGAAAACCCCAGGTGTGGTGGCAGCAGATTTGTTAGTGAGCTGTGGAAGAGGGGGAGGAATTATTGTAGGAGCCAGAGGGGTCAAGGATAACACAAGAAAATGGGCCACAGACTCAACTAACCAAGGCTCATAGGGGCTCACAGAGCCTGAACCGACAACCAGGGAGCCTGCATGGGACTGACCTAGACACTCTGCGTATGGTTGTGCAGCTTGGTGTTCTTGTGGAACTCCTAACAGTGAGACTCTTACCTACTTTTGGGACCCTTTTACTCCTACTGGATTGCCTTGGGCAGCCTTAATATGGGGGGAGGTGCCTAGTCTTTTTGTATCTTGATATGCCATGTTTGGTTGATATCCTTGGGAGAGCTGTCCTTTTAAGAAGAGAGATGGAGGAAGATGGATCTGGGGAAGAGGGGAGGTGTTGGGGGAGGGACTGGGAGGTGAGGAGGGAGGGAAGCTGTGGTAAAGATGTAATATATGAGAGAAGAATAAAAAAAGAAAAAATAAAAAAATCCCAAGTGTGGTGGCTGCAGATATGATAGTTAGCTTGATTTGATCACTATATAATATAAGCATTTATCAAAACACTGTATTGTGCCCTATAAGCATAAACAATTATTTATGAATAACAAAACTATAAACATTTTAATAAGAGAATTATTGGAGTCAGAAGGATAGGATATGTACCTAACAGGTCACTAAAGATTTTAGATGAAAAAAAGAAAATACATTGCATAGCAATTCTAACTACCTCTTTATCTAACATTGCCTCCACATACTACCAGACCCAGCCTTGTCTTCTTTCTCCTTGGTTTTCTATTTCCCAAATCTGTTTCTAGGCTGATAATTCTCTTCTTTTCCAATGTGGGACTTCACAAGTCTTTTGGCGTAATGCCTCATCTACATTAAATTGTCCTTATTTTACTGGATAGACAAAATACTCCTTTTTGAGGGCTATTTACGGTGGGCTGTGTGATGAATGGGGTCAGTTATCATCAGGCAGTGGTAGAATGTCTTTCGTGGATGGAAAGAAGAGGCTGTGACTACTTAATGCTTTTATTTCATCATTGTTACATTAACTGTGGATCACTCGTGAACTGGCATGCAGTTATTGAAGGTGAAACGGAGACAGTGATTTCAGACCGAGTGGGCAGCATTAGGGTCCCTCGGGGCTGCTTGAGGGAGGAGGCAGGGGACACTGCAGCATTACTCACAACAGCTAAGACGCAGAGGCAACCTAGGTGTCCATGATAAAAATGGATGGATAAAGAAAACGTGATACACATACAACGGAGTACTTTTTATTTTTAAAAAGAAGGTGTCAACATGAATGAACCTGAAGGATATTATTATGAAATAAAGCAGGCATGGGAAGAAACATGCCAGGCAGGCACGGCTTCTGAAGTATGCTTTAATTATGGCCATGTTTGTTTTTGCTAGAATACAAAATAATGGGTTTTGTTCATTCGCACGTGCATGTCATTATACATGCATCATTGTACTTTGCTCACATTTATCCCTTCCTTAATTCTCTCGCCCCTCTCAACCCTGGATATTTTGTTTCAGACAAGGTTCACGCTAGTAAAAGTTTTCTTTTTACATTTGATCTCATCCAAAATGGCTGAGATGTGGTGAAAAATTTACTTCTTATGAAAGCAGCTTGACCCAAGGGAGCATGTGACAGAGATCCGGAACACTCATGTGTTTATGCAGCTGTATTCGCCTCGGCCGGGGGAGGTGTCTGCCAACAGAGGAACGGATTAGGAAGATGTGGCACAGAGGAATGATAGGATTTTATTCAGCTATAATGAAGAATGAAATTATGTCATTTGCAAGAAAAAAAAGAGATAGAACGAGAGGTTAGCATGTTAAAAGAAATAAGCTGCATTTAGGCAAATATTACTTATTTCCTCTCATACATAGAAGCTGAAGTTTAAAGGAAAAGATTTGAAAGTAGAAATTGATTATTTGAGAAGAGGAAGGGACCTCATCCGAGTAGGCAAGACAGCAAAGGGCAATGGGAGTGGTGGGTATGGTTAGAGTGCCATGCATGCAAGGCTGACAACACCAGAATAATATCCATTGTTCTGTACAACAAAAATATACACTCGTGCTTCACTCAAGTGTTTGGAAAGTCATTTAAAGATGGGGTTAGGGAGTTGGTTCAGTGCTTGAGTCTGGAACATTAGCACCACTGGGCATGGCAGTGTGTGTCTATCATCCCAATGTGTGTTGGGGCTGTAGCAGGTAGAGAGAGGACTGAGACATCCAGTCTAGTCAAAACAGAGAGGCCCTGCCTCAAAAAATCGGGTGGAGAGCGATAGAGGAAGGCGCCCAACATTAACTTTTGTCCTCCATGCACAACTACAAGCACACGTGCACCTGATGTGACATACCACAAGCCCCTACCACACACATGCATCCAGAAAGTGTGTCTGAGGTAAAGCACAAGGGGAAAATAATCTCCCTGTGGTTTATAGAACAAATATAGATAAATGTAGATGAGGGGAAACCCCCTAAATTTCATCACTGAATAGTAATGAAAACGTTCAGCAGGCAAGAATTGATTCAAAAAGTATTATGTGAAAATTACAGCCACACAACATACCTAGAGTTGTGTCTGATTCTCAGGAAATGAACAACCCTACCCATTTTACTCATTAACACATCATCTAGTGATCGCCTGTTGACCTTAAAGCAAATGAATTGAAAGTGTGTCGTTTAATAAACTTTCCCACAGACACCACCCAGATCACAATATAGGGCATTTCTGTCACTCCGGGGAGTTCCCTCACATACTAGTCTTCTTGGGAGCTCACTCATGTCCCATCACTAGATAAATTTCACCTGCTCTAAAGCTCTGTAAGCAATGGTTGCCAGGGGGAGGGAGTCCCATTCCTCAGTATGTAGCTACTGCTAAGCTGCCCTTGTTCAGGAAAATTACCCCTGCCCCTGCCTGTGCAGTGGGTCACAAACAAACAAGATGTGAAATCAGGAGTGGAGTGGTGGGAAGAGGGTTTGCTGGGAGGAGGAAGGGAGTAATAGAAGAGAATGAGGGTAAATACAGTCAAAGTTCTCTCTACTTCCCTGCCCCGCTCTCCCTCCTCCCTCCCTTCCTCCCTTTCTCCCTCCCTCCCTCCCTTCCTTTCTCTCTCTTTCTTTCTCCTTCCTTCTTCCCTCCCTCCCCCTTTTTTCTTTCTTTCTTTCTTCCTTCCTTCCTTCCTTTCTTTCTTTCTTTCTTTCTTTCTTTCTTTCTTTCTTGAGACAGGGTTTTTCTGTGTAGATCTGGCTGTCCTGGAACTTCCTTTGTAGACAAAGCTGGCCTCAAACTCACAGATATCCACCTGCCTCTGCCTCCCAAGTGTTGGGATTAAAGGTGTGTGCCATCACTGAGTGGCAAATTTATAACTTTAATCTTTCATTTTAATTTTATTTTCCCCCTCTCTCTTTCTAGTTGATCTGTAATGAAATTGTGAAAGAACAAATTAGAAGAAAGAAAAAAAACACGCCTCTTCATGGACCTTTTGGGTTTGGTTTGTTTTTCTCAAAATAATATTTGTGAGACATCCATATTCTTGTGTGTATTAGTCACTATAAAATACTGGAAAATATTCCATCTTTTGTTTACACTTAATTTTCTTTTTGTTGGACATTTGGACTATGTACAGTCTCTATTATTAAGGATAAAGTAGCTATGGGGACTGGGGAGGTGTTTAGCCGGTAAAGTGGTTGCTGTGTAAATGTGAATTAGGACCCCAAAAGTTCATGTGGGAAACCTGGTTTGGCAACATGTTTGTAATCCCAATTCTGGGAAGATGAAGACAGGAGGATTCTAGTACTTATTGGCCAGCCAGTTGAGCCAGATGGAGAGCTCCAGGCTCAGTGAGAGATCCTGTCTCGAAAAACAAGGTGGAGAGCCATGGGAGACAACCAACATTAACCTCTATCCTCTGTGAGGATGTGTACACATGTGCACCCGTATACACATGTACAAACATAAGAATTAAGTGGCTAAGAACAATTTTTTGGTGGACACATTCATTTCCCTGGGGCATATACTACCTAGACATAAGATTATAGAATTTATGCATCTTCAACTTTTCAGAATTTTGCCTAATTTCTCTTGTATGAATTTGCATTCCAAATGGCAGTGTGTGACAGCTACTCTTCTCTTTTCTACCACACAGTAAACAGACAAGGCAGTCTTTTCTCTCTGGGAACACACAAATCCAAGAGAATATGGCAAAAACTACCTCTCATGTGGTCCAGGATCTCATGCAAGAGAAACATGCAGATGACCACAACAGCGATTTAGGGACAGCTACTGTTCTGGGTGGCAGTGGAATTTGGGTTGCCAGCCTAGGATGAATGGGGGAAGAAAATGGAGAGTGTGGAAAGCCAGTCTTAGGAAAGGGCTACTGATAAGAGGCCAGGTTGCTGTGGCTGCTGGTTAGACTCTCAGGGATGGACTCCAGCTCATTCAGGGAGCTGGGGGGATCTTAGACAGAGGGTAGATCCATGAACTTGGCATGAGTTCCATCCACACACACTCCATGTTTCCCTTGACGTTTACCTCAACACCAGGGCTGACTCTGTTTTGTTTTTTCTGGGTACACAAAGTAGGAAGTTCTTGTGTCCCTTCCTGTGGACTTGAACTTGTGGGTAGATCTTGTGGCCAGAAAGGACAAAGTTGACAAAGGGGTAATCAGTAGCTACTTCAAATGCACAGCTAAGTCCTAGGAAACTGTTCAAGGAGGAATCAGTTGCTATCCTGGGACTATGACCATGGTACCTGATAGAACTGAAGGGAGGAAAGATTTATTTTAGCTCATGTCTTCAGAGGGCTCAGTCCATTGTAGGGAGACCATTGGTTACAGTGAACATTGCATGATGGCAGAGGGGGCTGGTATGGTGTTGGGGGCTGGAGTCATGGGCTAGGATATCACCTTGAGAGGCATGCCCATAGTAACATACTTCTGCAAGCTTAGCTCTACCTCCAAGATTTCACAATTTTTCAGAACATGATCTATCAGGAACCATTCAGATCCAAACTATTAACAGGGTATGCCATTATGTACATATTTTATTTTTTTCACAAATAGCTTAAGTATTTTATTTGTTTGCAGCTAAACTTGTTAACACTATATACTGAAAATGTACTAAGAATAATGTTGCAGTTTTTGGTTAGAGTTAAATCAAAGGCATCCATTAATAAGGAATCTTAAATTGTAAATACCCCAGAAATGTCTGTAAGCCATTTGATCTCAACAATGATCTCTGAATAGCACCTTACTTTGGCAAACATTTGAATTAAAACTCAAGAGTTTTCCAAAATAAAGCTGTAATTAATAAAAATATTATATGTCCAAAACTAAAACAATTTTAATAAAGCTTTCCTTTCCAAAACAATAGTAAAGCAAACAAAGCATTTTGTAAAATGTGGTACTGAACAAGTCACAGTAAAAATAAACGTGTACTTAACTCTTGCTTCCTCAGTACAGAGGCTGCTCTCTGCTTCATAGAAAAATATACTCACCACCAGCCAGTTCTCTTTCTGCCCTCCAGCTGCTTCCATGTAACCCATCTTGCTATCTCTCAAGTTCATGGACTCCTTTTCTTCCATTGTTGTTATATACACATACATATTCCTAAATATATAAATATAACTGCTTAGCTCATGTAATGTTACTTATATTTACATGATTTTAGTGCTGACCACTTGGTTTTGGATGACAAATTTGGGGGAATCTTCCTTGGGGGATACTATTTCTTCTGTTCTCAGCATTTCTTAGTTACCTGTAGTTCTTTATCTAGAGTTGGGGCCCCATGAGATTTTCCCCTTCTATGTTAGCATTCCTGTATTGATGCCATTCTTGTTCAGGTCATGTTTAGGCAGAAATATTGATGATACTTCATGGCTATAGCTTCTCTGACATTTCTAGGAGACACAATCTCACAACATAGCAAACTCCTCTGGCTCTTAAAATCTTTCCTCAACCATCCTCAATGATCCCTGAGCCTTAAGTTCAGTAATTGTGCTACAGATGTATCAGTTGGGACTGGGCACACACTGTCACTTGTTCTCTGCATTTTGATTGGTTGTGGTTTTCTGTAATGATTTTTGTCTGTAGGTATAAGAACAAGTGGCATACACCTCTAATCTCAGCACTTGGGAGGCAGAGGCAGATGGATTTCTGTGATTTTGAGGCCAGCCTGATCTATATAATGAGTTTCAGGCCAGTCAGAGCTACATAGAGACCCTGTCTCAGGGAAAAAAGAAAAAAAAACAATGGATATTTAGAATATAGTTAAGAATTATGCTGGTTTAGTGAAATAGCAGTTGTGGGTTCCCTTTAAAGATTCACTAGCCCCCAGATAGCTGGCTAGGTTTCTAGTACCTGACATGATCTCCCTCTTGCTGAATGGGCCTTAATTCAGAGAGCTGTTGGTTACCTGCAAGGTATGTGTGCCGCTACTGTACCCTTAGGATCACTGTACCAAGCCGTTAATTGCTGTAGGTTCATAGACCTCATAGCTGAGAAGACTATTGGTTGCTTCCTACTTTCAGAAGCTTATATGACACCTTCTGACACCATAAAAGCTAGTCTTCAAGGAGGAGGCTTTCAGGTCAGATCCAGCTGTGATGCCTCAAGTTCTGTGTCCAAAGAACATGGTGCCTTTACCAATGAGACTTACCTTAAACCTCTGGGATGCAACCAAAGGCAACATCAACAGCCTAATCTCTCTCTCTCTCTTTTTTTAAAATAGCCTAATCTCTTGGACAACCCTAACCAACAACCCAGAAGGGAACTTCTCTTCCTGGTGTTCTGGCTTTTGTTAGATAGTCTATAGTGTTGGCAGGAAGAACTGTCAGGACAGATGGGAAGTTTTCATTTAAACTGTGTAAGTATACACGGATTTACATTTATTACATGTAATTTTAGGCAAATAGATGATAGTTTGATTCCTTATGACCCTTTCAGACATTCTTACTCTTATTTTGCTTCTTTCCTCCTTCTTCCTTATTTATCTCTTTCCCTCCCCTAACTAAAGCTCCCACTATTTTTTCCCATTTTCCCCTTCAAATCTCTTATACCTGCTAATGCCCTTTCAACTGCTCTTTCTTCTGCATAATCCCATCTTAGTTTCCTATTTTCTGTGATTACCCCAGTTTGTATACTCACATCTGAGGATTTGGAGCTAGCCATCACAGATGAGAGAGAACATGCACTTGTCTTTCTGGGTCTGGCTTACCTCACTCCATATGAACATTATTGTGTTCCATTATGTCTCACTCTGTAGCCCAGTCTTTACTCAAATTCATGATCCCTTTTCCTCTGCCTGTCTAGTTTTTGGATTACAGATGTCTGTCACTATGCCTAGCCAGGAAGCTCTCTAAGCACGTGGGAAAATCTCACTCTATGAACACATGAGAACATTAGTTGTGCTGGTCAGGACAACTGGAGCAGCTTCACAAAGTATTTGTTGGTTGTTGGGTTTGTCCTAATAATAATAGTGAAAACAGTGTAACATTTCAGACCTAACTCTGCACAGGTTACTCACAGTAGTCAGTCGTTTCCAACATGTGACCTGTAGGATAGCATGCAGCCTATGAATCCGGGCAGAATCCAACTCATTTGTAGACCATTGCAATGTCAGAAGGTTGAACCCCCCCTGGAAGCTTAGGGCCTCTTTGGGTGATAGCTGATGAGTGAGATAGTCACAGGTCAGTCAATTCTGTTTCTACTCTCAACAAACACTGTGAATGCTTTTGCTTCCTTATGACTTTATTGTCATTATTTTAGTTGAAGCCACCAGCCTTTTTTGTTTGTTTACTTGTTTGTTTTTCAGGGCTTGAGATCGAGCCAGTGCCTCATGCACTTAGGAGAGCCCCCTACCACTAAGCTACATCCATGGTCCTCCACTAGGCTCTTCACTGGCCTCCTCCTACCAACTTTGGCTTCACTCAAGACTTATTATACACAACCCTGTGCATCTGATCTATCTTCGGACACATGCTGCTGAAGTTTCAACAGTTTGAAGAGGTTTTAGAAGCACCTCTAAAGACAGATACATGGATATTAGAAACTGTGTTGGTTGCACATGTTCGGAAGACTCAGGTTCCAACTCTGGAACATTCACTAGCTATCTCTATGATTGAGCTATCTTCCCTCTAAGCCCCTCAAGTTTCCCTTTCCTGATCTGTGAATAAAAACATTGCATCAAACTAGGTCTCCTGGGATGTTTTCAGTGAGCAACGTTGTGATATACTGTGGAACTGACTTAGAGGAACTTTCTGGAATTCTTGCTGGAGACAGAGCAGAACAAGGCCCTGGGGAGGCATTTTAGGCATCTCTCCTATCTTTCTTCTCTGAGATGCCTGGCATGTTTGGAGACAGTTCCCATATGCAGGAAAGAACCACATGAAGATGTTCCCGGATCAGTTCCTCATTTCAGCAGGTGTGCCAGGCAACAGAGGGCTCCCAGCAGTGGAGGGGAAGTCTGTGGTTTGCTTTTACACGATGGTGTGGGTTCTTGTTAAGTTCTCTGTGCTCTACTATATACTTAGAAGCCACTAGATCCAGGCCAGCTTCTAGAAGCTGAGTCCGTAAGTCCCACAGAGTTGCTTTGCGGCCAGTTGTGTGGGCCAGCTGAGCAGTGGGTGTAGACATATACATTTGTACAGTTATGGATTTTAGTGTAAGAATTATGGTGTAGAAGTAAATACATATTGGAAAAATATTAGTGTCCTGATTTTGATATTATACTCTAGGTAGGTAAGATGCAACCATTTGGGGACACAGTGTGATGGTGAGAAGAACCCCTCTGTTCTACCATTGCAGTACCTTGTGAGTCTTTATTTCAAAGATTAAAAAATATGTGTAAATGTTTCAAGGTGGTTTATAAGGTTCTGTAAGGATGGTTTCATAGTTGTCTGAGTGGGGACCTCCCTATCCCCCTAAAGGTGCAGGCTCACTTCTTGTGCTTATTGTGCAGTGGGTTTTCATAGTGTTGTCTATCAAGTTTGTGTTGTGTTTGATCAGCATCAAGGCCAGCCTTCGAAATCACACGGTGAGTGCTGAGCCTTTTGGATGCCTGGTTTCCAAAGCATGCCCTACTTCTTTCTGCTTTGAGGCTCCCCAGCCTCCCTTGGCTCTGGAACGTTCATGCAAAGGGCTGAAGAGTAGCCTGGCTGATGGAGAGTAACCTGACATATGAAGAGTAGCCTGGCCGATGGAGAGTAGCCTGGCTGATGAAGAGTAGCCTGGCCGATGGAGAGTAGCCTGGCTGATGGCTTACACAGATTTCTGAGGGCAGCAGGAAAAATAGGATGCAGCCCTGTAGTCAGTCATTTGAGGGTCCAGTTAGTTCAGATTCAATTCTACAAAGGAACTTATGGGTTGGGAATGTTGATGGTTCTGAAAAGAAGAGGAAAAATTGAGAAATAATCCTTGTAGGCAGAATAATGCACCCCATCTTCTCAAAGAGGTCCACCTCATGTTTAGAATCTGAACATTGTCACATGGCAAAGAGGAATTAAGACTCTAATCAACTTACATGGTACAAGGAGTTTATCATGGCCTGTTCTAATAGCTCCATGTAATCGTAAGTGTCCTTAAAGGTAGCAGAGAGAGGCAGAGAAAGTGAGGGGATGACAGCTGGGTATCCCAGTACTGGCTTTGAAGGAGGAAGGGACCATGAGTCAAAGAATGTGGGTGGGCTCTGGAAGCTAGGAGAAGCAAGGAAATGTGTTCTCTCTAAAGCCTCCAGAATGGAGTACAGCTCTGCCAGCACCTTGATTTTAGTCAAGTCAGATCCATGCTTGGTTTCTGATTTATAAAAATGTAAAATAATAAATTTGTGCTATTTTAAGCAATTGAATTTGTACTAATTTGTTATAGCATACTAGAAGTCATATACCATGCTGATAAACTGAAAACAGATACACTCCTGCAGCAATAATATTTCACTAATTAGTGGAGGCTCAAGGCTCAGGAATCAGTGAAGAGAATCCTGGGACTAAGTGAAGAAAAATCTGAGGTAGTGGGTTGGGAAAAGGCAAGAAGCTTGAGTTTAAGACTTAGGGTCTTATGGACAAGGGGATGCATGCTAGGGAGAAAGGGCTGGCAAGATGGCTCAGTAGGCAAAGATGATTTCTGCCAAGTCTGCTGATCTGAGTTCAATCCTCAGGATCCACATGGTGGAAGAACTGGTTTTCTCATGCTGCCCTCTGACCTCCACATACATGCCATGGCACACACGTACCCATATGTAAGATAAATAAATAAATAAATAAATAAATAAATAAATAAATAAATAAATATAATTAAAAGAACCCTTTAAAAGAAAAGAGTCAGGCCAAACCCATGTGATCCTAGAAGCAGTTTTAAGGATTTGGGACCAATGAGTTATTAGCATAGAGGTGAGCCTTGGATGGGAAAGTACACATGCCAATGATGGGTTTAGGGAACACAGAAAGGTTGTAGAAGTGTGGGAAGTTTACATTTCTATCGGAGTTCTTTGGCAGGGGCAAATGTTGAAAATTTCTAGTCTTAACTTTTTCCATGTATAAAATGGGGGTGCAGAGTACTGGGATTTCTTGTAGATTAGAACAAGTCCTGTGAGACTTGATAAAGGACCCCAGTGAGGTCTTTGGGAATAACATGACTGTGTGGATTACAGCATTTCAGTAGTATGAGGTCAGTGTCTTGGGCTCAGCCTCATTTAGAACCTGTGGTAAGCAGTAGAGTATGGCTTCCTCCTCAGCAGAGGAACTGTGTTCCACCTGTGAGTATTCACCATCTTGTTTAAATGTAGAAGTGATGACCATAGCAGGTGCCAGTGCTCAGTGGCCAGAGAACTTTGTAGAGCTGTTTATATCTACTGTGCTTCATGACATCAAGTTCAAATTCTTTCCTACTTGCCATTTCTAATTCCTCAGGACAGAAAAATAATGGGCCAAAAAAGAGGGGTAGAGGACTATGGACCCCCAAATCTCTCAATTCTGGAGCATTAAGCATACCAGAAACCTAAAACACTGAATTCGGTAAAATTGTCTTTGCATTCTGTTTGATTTTGTACACTTTTCAGTTTCTCACAAACCTTTTACTGACAGAGCATTGTAGCATCTGCCAGTGATAGGGCAACCAGAGGGTTTGGCAGCTTGTGGGTGGGAGTTTCAGGGTTTGGGGACTTGGCTGCAGTTAGATTGGGCTGTTGGAGTGGGCGGATGAAACTGTGTATTGGTGATGGTCTTTGCTTTTCCTAAATCACAATTGCATCACATGAGGGAGCTGAGTTTATGTTGAGCATTGCAAAAGCTCCTGGGAAAAGGGCAAAACTGGTTTGAGTGCGTAAGAAATTTATTTATGGCAATCATGGTATCAAACTGAGATAGGATACTGTTGAGAATCTGGACCATTTTATGGTGGAGGGAGAAAATTCATTTTAGTTTTGTAAGTAAGCAACATATAGTAGAGTCACTTTGTAGTTAGAATGATTTTTTTGAGTCTTAGTGTGCTTTTCATAGGGCAGCAGATAGGATATTCTTATTTTACTGATTCAAATAAGGATGGATTTGGGGAAGAAATATCAGTGAGAAAAGAAAAAAATAAAGCTGAGCAGAAAGAAAAGGGCCAACTTCACAGGAGGAGGTTGGAGGCTGTTAAGCATAGCTGGCCAGGTTTCTTGTGACCCGTCTGCACTACAGCACAGTATGGCTGACTCCTGGACACAGGGTCACAGCTCTCTGGGGGCTTAAGATGACTCACACATTAGGTTCCGTCTAAGATTTATCGGCCGTGCTGAAATATGGCTTCTTTCTTTGATTTGACTTTAGTTTTTAATTTGTGGTAGCCTGGTTTCTAGTGATCATATTAAGTGATAGAAAGGTAATTGTATCAGTTTTTTTTTTTTTCAGATAAGATTAGAAAACCAGCCGGGCGGTGGTGGCGCACGCCTTTAATCCCAGCACTTGGGAGGCAGAGGCAGGCGGATCTCTGTGAGTTCGAGGCCAGCCTGGGCTACCAAGTGAGTTCCAGGAAAGGCGCAAAGCTACACAGAGAAACCCTGTCTCAAAAAACCAAAAAAAAAAAAAAAAAAAAAAAAAAAGATTAGAAAACCAGAGTTGACTCTTCATTTTTTCACATTACTCTTTAACATGGTCATCTTAGGGGAGGTTCAGAATAGGATGCTTGCAATGTCGTGTGCTGTGACTCATCTACTGATAACTCAGATGGGGAATGTAAAGGACTTCACTTCCCCACATCATGGCTTTCCACTCTCTTTCTGTGAAGTCTTTCACTTCCTTTCATGGCATCTTTAATATCTGAATTTTAATTGGGGTTCAATTGACGTACAAGAAGCCACACATGTCTGAAAAGTGCATCTGGATGGATTTTGACATGTGTGTACCTGTGAACGGTGGTGCCCTCCAGCTCTCCAGTGCCCCTCTGTCTCTTCTCCCCTTTGCCCAGACTCCTGAGCTGCTTCCCACCACTAAAGATGAGTTGATACTTCCTAGAATTTCATAGAAATTGAAACATAAAAGATCTGCCACTGAAAACCTGGTTTGTTTTATTTTCTGTAATTAGTTTGAGATTAATCCATGCAGTTATCCATATCAATCGTCCATTTCTTTTGACTTGATGCCACTTGACTGAAGTTAACAAGACAGAACTATTGTTTTTGATTAGTTTTACATATAAGGTACATTTTTAGAAAAATAAATTAAGTACCAACCATGTACCAGTTTGTTTTCCTCTGCACATTATTATTATTATTATTATTATTATTATTATTAGAGATTTTAAATTTTGTTTTTATTTCCTGTGTATGAATGTTTTGCCTGAAAGTATGTTTGTGTACCACATGTGTGCAGTACCTGTGGAGATCAGAAGAGGGCGTTGGATACCCTGGGACACAAATTACAGGTGGTTGTGAGCTGTCGTGTGGGTACTGGGAATTGAACCTGGGTCCTCTGGAAGAGAGGCCAGCACTTTTAACATCTGAGCCATCTCTCCAGCTCTGCTTTATTGTCTTTTAAATCAATTATGGTTGTATAGCAAAAGTGAGAGGAAGAGATTTCCCACATGCCCCCTAGGCCCCCACATGCATAGCTTTCCTCACTATGAGCATCCTCCACTGGAGTGGCACATGTTTTAGAACCAATAAGCCTGTGTTGACACACAGGTACTCAGAGTCCATAGTTTACACCAAGACCCGGTCTTGTTGTGCATTTCCTAGGTTTGGACAAATATGACATTTATCTGCCAGTAGAGTATCATATAGAATCATTCTCTGTCCTTACACAACCCTCTGTGCTTCTGTCCTTTCTCCTTAACCCCCTGCAACTACCAACATCCTGATCGGTTCAACCTCCCATGTAAAATTCTCCCCTTAACCAATTGCTGGAGGGAGCCAGAGAATGAATTAGAGGGAAAGGAAAAATGGAGGAAAAGAGGAAGAAGAAGAGGGAAATGGGGGAGAGAAGGGGTGTGGGAGATGAAGAGGATCAGAGGGGGAGAAAGAAGGGCAGGGTAGGGGAGAGGGTTAGCACAGGAAGGAAGAAAGGAAGGGAGAACACAGCTTCTCAAGTCCCCGCCCTTCCCTTCTCTTTACAGTATAGGCCAGGGAGAACCTGGGGCTGGAGGACTGAGGATTGGAGGGAGTTATTTGGATACAGGGGATGACAACAGTCTCACATACTCACCCACCTGCCAGTTTGGGGGAGGTGCTTTGGTCTGCCTCTGGTCACTCTGGTTCTTAATAATTCCGGTGTCCTCTGCTAATGTGATATTCTCAAACTTCTAACTTGAGCTTCTTAGGTTAGGGGCAGCTCTGCTATGTACACACAGAGACCCCACTCTGGTAGGGGGTCACTTTATTCTTCCTGGCTGTGTACATGGCATTGTTGATCCATTTGCCCCTCTTCTGTAAAGGAAGCCGTGGAGATCTTCTTCCATTACTTGTGGAACGAGAAGGGTGGAGGTACCACCAGGCTGTCTATTCTTCCTTTGAAGGGCTGCCCTATGAAACCCTTGCCTTCAGAAATTTGGAGTCTAAAGTGGGCTCAAGTCTCAGGGATCAAGAACTTCCTAGAACTCCTTTACCAAGCTCTACCTTGTCCATTCACCAGGCAGAGGTATGCCTAGTTTCTTTCTTATAGCCTTTCCTGGCTCTGCAGGGAATTGTTTGAGAGTGCCAATGGCCCTGCTCCCTCAGGGAACTGGGCTTTGTGGGACAGAGTGAAGAAAATGTCCTCATTGTGAATAAGGCACTGTGTACAGGAATGGGGGCTCTGATTATTCCCTTTTCCTGCAGCTTCTCAGGTGGACTGGAACAAGGGTGTGATTTGGACAGTATGGTTATTCTTGCCTTCTGGTGAGCCTCAAGGAAGGTGTCTACACTCTATGTATGGAGAGTTAGTATGTGGAGTTTCACCTGTAAATTCAAGTGCCCATCTTGGGGCCACAGAAAAGCCCCACCCAACATCTCGGCATTTTCATTTGATAGTGCTCACCTGTTTGTCGATGGCCAGTCAGTGTTATGGGATGGGGTGACTTTTTGTTTGATTGATTTTTGTTTTAACCTGTCAATTCCCATTCCTAGAAAGGCCATAGAAAATAATGGTTCATAAAAAATAATATCAGGCTCTGCTTTCTTTAGTATTGACTGGTTTCCTAGGAAATAGTTGATAGTCCT